TATCTTCTTCTTTTTACATGCTATGTCGTGCAAATGCGTCAACATTACAGATGTGATAATTGGCTGTGCCCAGCTGACGACAACAACTGTGTCACTTTTTACATTAAATAAATACGTATGTTTGTAACTGCACTTTTATCTTGTCTTTATATCTAAGAAAAAACGGACACAAATTTTGTAACATCGTACAAGTATATGGTAGTTGTTTAAATAATAAACACATTATAACAGTACAAACCTCTGTGTACAAACCGGAAGTGTATGCAAAATATTACTTGATTACAAAAGGTATTGACAACTGAAGATGGACGTGTCGATGCGCCTATCCATCTTTCTGGGCACATCTGTTGCTACAAGTATAAACAAACTAATGGTCGGATTGCTTATGCTTGATAATGAGAAAGCTCTGATTTCTCATTTAAAAATATATTTTGTACAATGACAACAAAGTTATGCAGTTGAATTCAATATAAGTGACCTTACGGTTAAATTCCAGACCACAGTTTAATTAGTTTTAAATCAGTAAGCAATTACGAAAGGTTAAGAACTTAAGAGTTTTGGAAATTTATTGTATTAATTTTTTCAACTGAGGTCTAAGGAATATTTCTCGTTTTGTTTTCACTTTCATTCCCTCTTTGTAGAACTACACATACCTTCATATATCCTGTTTTCGTGGTATTTCCATAGTGATAGCTTTATCTTATATAATATTTGGTCATATGCATGTATTCAGCATTTATCTAAGTCCTTTTTATGAGCTGTAAGCTACAAAAACAAATTGAGTCACGTTTCTTACGAAAAACGTGCGCCTTTTTTCCTGCTTAAGAGCTTAACTCAACATTTTATTTTTCCTTACTTAAGACTCGCCATCATTTACTATTTTCATACGATTCACAATGCCACACTATGGTCTAATATATTCAACGCTTTGCTTTCAGCAGCATTCCAATTCCTCTTTTTTAAGCACAGAACTCTCTTTTCATTTAACCATTGTCATTCATGCCTGCTGTTATTGGTGCGCAGCTAAAAGCATTTGTTTGTTAACATTTTCATTGCTCAATGAAATTCGCCCCTTATTTTAGTTATTTCATTGTCAGGCAACCATTTTAATATAATTTTATTTTCACAGAAACACTTTGTTCTCGTTTATTTCATTTGTTTTTCGAATTACATTTTTTTCCCTTTTTCCTCCTTTGTAAATTTGTGTTGTCATTGCGGTTGTTTGCATTCCATCTTTTTTATTAAAATAAGCGGTGATTTTCTGCGCTTCCCAATGATTCGTTAAGCAATGGACCGAATCCAAGTTTAAAATATTTAATTTGTATTTGCATAATATCATAATCTTTTATAATACTTGTATTTAAATTTATTTGTGGGGCGCTGGTTGCTTTGACAAAGAAAAATACCCAAATATATAGTATTGAGATTGAAGAATTTTTACTTTTATTTTATTTAAGTAATCTAATTCTAATCCTATTCATGATTGTCTTTGCCAAGAACTATTAACACCCATATTTGGTTAAAATTTTTTGATTAAATCTTAAAAATCCTTATCAGACCTTCAGCCTTTTAATAAGTTTTTTGTTAGGATGATGATTGAGTAGGAAATATTTTTAAACAAAAATTGTAAATCTACATTTTTACGTTCACGGCAGAATAAAAAAACACTTTAGTAACCCACTTTTAGAAAACAACTGATCTATTATCAGCTACGAAGCCATTGAAAAGTTACAACGGAAATTCAAATTTGCAATGTGTTTGACATTTGGAGCGAATGAACAAGATATTTAGCAGAGGAGCACTCCACAGGCGTCCTAAAGTGTTAACATAAAAACCAATTGTAGCGAGCGTATGTACAATATATAATGTATACAAGTATATATGTCTTGAAGTCGTTTATGTCACTGGCAGAGGTCACATGTATTCGTAGAGAAAGAAATACACGTTGTCGATATCGACTGTCAATTTGGAGCACTCGGAACCGTTTACTCCACAGCGTATGCCGTAGAGTAGTGCAGTAGACGAGAATTGGTGGAAGCAGTGATAACGGGAATATCGAGAGCACATGTCAACCTCTAAAAGTCAGTTGAAGTTCTACATAAAAGTTTTTTTTTTTTTGATAGCTGTCTTCGTCTGCATTTAGTTATAGCAAAAAGGGAGAGAGCATTAATGTGACGCTGTTAGCGTTGTCACCTGCGGTCGGTCAATGAAAATAAGTTTAAGGTGAGCATGAAAACTTACACAATCATGCAAACACATGTCGATGATAAAAGGTAACTCACACCTGCATCTAAATAGGCGTATGTAAATGTGTTTGCGAGTAATATATTGAGTGCTTAAAGTAACACACACAGGATGTTTGCACCAACTAATGAAAGTGTTTGCGTAGCGAAAGTTTAAAAGTTTCGAGCACAAATTCGAGGGCTTCACTACTGAAAGTGAAGAGTTTTCAACCGATAAGTTCATAGAAATAGATAAAAAATTGTTGAAGTGAAGTCGTAAGATACTTGCTGCAGTCAAATGAAATGAAATGTGTAAAACAGCAAGACTACAATTATTAACTCATCTGAATGTTGATATAAGTACCAATGGCTAAGCAACAAAAGTGGGAGCTTTAAAACAACATGCTCTAGTCCCTCAATTTTTGAAATATCTGTCTAAAATTTTGCACACGTCGTTTTCGCTGATATCATACTACTATAGCATATAGCTGCCATGTATGGAAAACTTTTATTATTTGACCAGATATCTTCACGAAATTTGGCATGAATCTTTTCATAATATAATGGTGTACCTCAGAACAAGTTGTTCAGATCGAATGACTACAGTATATACCTACCATACATAATACACGCTTAATGTAAGTTTTTATATGGCCATTACATATTATTAATATGATATGATACCATGCTGATAGTACCGTAACATAAGCGTAACCTTCAAACAAATAACTGGGATTAGATCTGCAACTTTAGGAGGGCAGAATAGAGCTATACAGATTTCTGATTACTCATAGATTTATGACATATCATATGTAGATGTACATATATAGAAAATATTGTTGTTAATTAGAAAGAGGGGTAAAAGTCTATAAAATATTATATCAAAACTGTAAAGAAATTCACAGAAGCTATGACATAACAAATCACCTAACAGACACTATTAGAACAAGTAGGGAAGGGCTAAGTTTGCTTGTAACCGAACATTTCTTACTCTTACAACTTGCCAGGATCAAAGTATTGTATATCCAATATTATACCTTCAGTTATTTTTGCAGATATCTTACTTATGGGCCAATATATACGGTACAAAGCCATGGGAGATAGAGGTAGTATTGACCCGCATTACTACATATTCAGAAAAAGTGCCCTTTGAGTTTTATTAAGATACCTCGCAATCCATCGGCAATATAGGAGTAAAGTCAACTAGATATTTAAAAATCCTGATATTAGTTCTACGGGGTCTAGAACAAGTTTTCATCCGAATTTATCCATTTTAGGCATAAAGAAGCAGGCTCTCTGATTTTTATTAAAATAACTCACGTATTTGCCGCTATATGCGGTATAAAGTCAGACGGAAATTCGAAAATATTTAGGGAATTATTAATCCGAGTCAACCCATTTTTGACGTACAGACGTACTATTATCAGAAAAAGATTCTCTCCGAATTTCTATAATATATCCCACAAATTTACCGATATTTTTGATAAAAAGTTTGCAATAGGAACTGTGGTCCACATATTCGATATCTGAGGGCTGAAATGGTCAATTAGACACTTTTTGGTCATTAGGTGGCATACCTCAAACCAGATAAATTGATTGGTTCAGGACTTGTATACTGGAAAATGAAAGAATCAGATGTGAAGGTAATATTACCTACCAAATTTGGTTGAAATCGTTAGGGTAGGTCCAGAGATATGGGTTTTCAGCTAAATGTGGGTGGCGCCATGCCCATCGTTCAAATATGACACCGGCTCCTATAAAGCCCTATCATACCATCTCTAGTGCAAAATTGTATGCCTCTTTCGCATTTATTTATAGATTTTTCGCACTTTTAGTAGTTTCTAACAAAACCTGAGGAGTGGGCGGGGTTATAATTCGAATTCACCCATTTTGATAGAATGCGTAGAAATGCCAAAAATATATTGCTCAGCAAATTTGGTTATAATAGCTTGAATGGTTTAGAAGATATGTACATTAATCTTATTAGAGAGCAGGGCCACGTCCTTTTATTAAAGATTTTCAAAGCACGTGTGCCCACGCCACTGTAATCCTCAACATTAAATTGCAGTTCTGTATCTTAATTTAGAGCTCAATCATCCTGATTATTTATGTATATAATATATAACCCTATTTCTATCTCGGTTAGTTTTAAATGATACAAACAACCGTATAAAAACAGGTATTAAAGGTGCCCGGCTTTGACATGCGTTTCTATTAAATATTTAAAATCTTTGAAAATCACTTTATATGGCTCAATTAGTTATAAAAGAGTTACCATAGCACACTAATGCAACTAAAAGAGATAAATTGACAGCGTCCAACAGGATACTCCTTTATAGATAAGTTCATTACCATATATGTATTTCACCAACCCCTTAAAACGATTTTGCAAACACAAAATAGCCACAATACATGTACAATTACGAGTATGTATACTTTATCTAACTGTTTTTTGTTTAACGAAGCGGCAAGTGGCCATTTGAGTTTTTACATTCATTCATCAGCATTTGTAATGGCGAAGCGTAAGACATGGCACATCAGAGTACATTTGATGGTTAAACCGACAAAAATTAGTAAACAAAAAATTGCATCCACAAAGATACGTAGTACTTACTATGCTTACCATATACGAGTAAATACGTACTTATGTAAATATGCATACGTTTCTATACACTTCATAGTGCATACCCATCAGGGAAAAGGCGAACCAGTTACACTAACTTAAGGGATTACATGGGTTTCGTTGATCAAAAAACGCTCTATTTTCAATAATTTTTTTTTCATATAAAAATTAAATATTTTATTCAAACGTTTTATTATTCCGAAGATACATATTTGATAAAAAAAATATTGTGAAAGGAAAATATTTAAAACTTGGTTATTACTACGTCATTTCTGGCAGTCCCTCGGAAAAGAGGTGCTTCCGCGTTGACAGCAGAACTTCTGACAGTATCATCAATAGTTTTTTTGTTTTAAATAATTGTAATTAACAGAAGAAGATAATTGTAATGAAGTTCAAGACCTTCTAAAGGATATCTTGAAGACTTGTGTAAAATTTCATTAAGGTTGAGTAGTTCGCGAGAAATCTTGACAACCGACGTTGAAAACACAGTTTCGAGAAAAACGCGTTTAAAGTTTTAAGTGACTATAGATGTTATGTTATTTACGTCCAGGCCGCATCATAAATTGTATGGTTTAGAATATATAAATATGTATAAATCTCAGAAAGGTCAAACTTATTTTTGTGAGATTTGATTTGGGTTAACCAAGAAATATTTAGGATTATATATTCAGTGCCCTTTCATAGTATAACACTAACAAATACTAATATATGCCCCGCAGGTCACGCATGCTCCCTTATTATGGGCATATATACACAAATAGCCGTTCCTGGTGGTGCAACTTTTGTATGCATTCAAATGCAAATGGTCTAATGTGCGGACATGATGTGGCCGTTGGTTCATCATTGTTGCTGATTTTCTCCTTTACTGATTTTGAATGCACCGAATTTTAATGTTCTTTCAACCGCTTTCAGTTCATGCACTCATATAAGTTTGCAATGTATTCCGTACACATGTTCACTTGACCGTCGCTTTAACTCATCCTCAAATAGTTGGAGTATCTCTCGAAGCTTTTGTGCGAAGCCACGACTCATGCGATGGAGGGATAAAGATGGTTTTGTGCATTAAATGTGTGAGAAAACGGATGATTTCGATTGTAATGTGGCCAGTTCTTTGGCGTTTTTGCAGCAAAAGTGGTTTCAGTGTGTATATCTTTTGGTTTTCAAAAATGGTAACCTGTTTTATCGAAAAGTTAAAAATTGAATAAAAATAACCTTGGTAGTAATAGTTTTTTTTTAAAGGCTCTTCTAGAAACAAATATAAGATTTCTTCATGCACTGGAATCTTGAGATTTATAAGGATCTACCATATGTATAAGTGGTCTAAATTAAAATTGGAAATTTACCACACTCTTTAACTTTTCTTTAACGAATTTTTTCGGTTTGTTTGACGATTGTCAACCCAGCCGATCACAGCAGCTAAACACGCTGCCCATAATTGATCTCTCACCAACCATATTTACAGAAACTTTTGAACTCGTACTTGGATAATAGATACTTTGCAATTTCTGTCAACCAACATTGATATTTTTAATTTTTACTTTAATTCCACACCTATTCTTTGTTGCCCTAAGCCATATGTATCTCCATAAGTCGTTTAAGTAAAATATTGTTTGCACATTGTTAAATATTGGAAATGTTGCCAACAATATATTGTCAATATTTATAGGGTATGCCAACAAATGTGTGAGTTACTACATGGTAGAACTTTCATTGGGCTTTAGCAAACACACAGTTCACATTTGCCATTTATAATTGCCCGAATAGCTTCTTCGTCCGAATTTTCGTTATTTGTGTGCTCAGTTTATTTCCAGTTTGTACGAAATGCATCACCATCCTTTCCGCACTATATGCTGAAAATTGTAGTAACAAATGAAAATATATGAGAAATACTCGTATATATGGTAAATTAATACTTAAAAATCAAATAGTGAATCAAAAGGTGGCTACTTTTTAAAAATTGATATTTAATTATTAGAATATATGTTTCATATAAAATACCAAATAGCAGATTTTTCAATAATTTGTATAAATTATATTTATTCTAAATTACTTTCAATACAATTTCAACATAATTTCACCAGTATGATTAATGTCATTTTCATTGCCAACTTGGTGGCCTCACTGGTTGTTCACATTGGTTTAATAGCGGCAGCAGTGTGCCAATAGTAGCTAAAAGGAATGATAATTGAAAATGTAAATCATAAAATGACCTCGGCAAGTAATATGCACTATTGCTTTCAAAAATAATTGTACGTTTCATATAGGATATGCCTACATGCATATATACATATACATGCAGCTGTTTAACTTCATTACGAAAAATGCTTTCCGGACCCATAATACAAGCTGTTGCAAGAAAGTAGAAATGAGTAGCGCGTCGTGAATCCATGAAGCATTTTTACATATTCACGCATATATATGTACAAGTATGTGCTTAAATTGATATGTGCAAATGAGTGCAATGTTGCATGCGCTGGCTGCTTTGTAGTTGCGTTTCTGTGTCACTGGCAAGGATTCACTGCACTTAGACCACTCTCACACATACCCCCCTACGTATGTAAATATGTATTTACTCGTATGTATGTAGTCTCGTCGTCATGATGTATTGTGTCACATGGCAACCGAATGTTGTCAAAGTAATCCTTCTTGATTCACAATTCCTTCCTTCCATCCTTCGTTGTACTTTCTGTCATCACGTCACTCTACATCCTACACACATACACACACACACACATACAAACATGCACTAAGTTTGCTTGCGGTGATGTTAGTGTAAACTTTGCTCGTGACTGATTGAATTTTTATTGTTGCTATTGTTTTATGGTTATCCTTGTTGCAGTTGCTGTTAGTGTTGCTGTCATTGCTACCGTTGACACTCTCATTGCGCTAATGGATTATGGTAATTTGCAGTAGAATGCAAATATACAAAGAAAAGAAACTAAGAAAACTATGGTTTATTCTCAGCACACACATAAATGCACTTCGAAAATGTATCTATTTTGTATGCACACAGAAAATAAAACGATGCTAGAGTTTTTAGCTATACATGAACTGATTTTGTTAGGCTTTGGAAGGTAAGTGTCTTATATCAAGCTTGGTTTTGAAATCTCTGCTATTGTCTGAAAGTACAAAAAATCCCATGAAATATAAACGAACATTATACAGAAAGTATTGGGTTGGCAACTAAGTAATTGCGGATTTCACTCATAGATGGCTTCAGTTCAATTTTTAGGTTTGCTGGCGTAGTCCAAATGTAAAACACATTTTGTTATTTTATAGTTGGCAATTCAGCTGTCAATCAGTAAAAAAAGTTGTTTGACCGGTTGCGTAGTTTTCGTTTGGCGTTCGTTAAAAAATGGAAGATCAAAAGGAACATTTTCGTCATATTTTGCTTTTTTATTATCGCAATGGGAAAAACGCATCGCAAGCTCACAAAAAGTTATGTGCTGTATATCGCGATGAAGCCATAACAGAATGGCAGTGTCAAAATTGGTTTGCCAAATTTCGTTCTGGTGATTTTTCACTCAAAGATGAAAAACGCTCTGGTCGTCCAGTTGAAGTTGATGACGACCTATTCAAAGCAATAATCGATTCGGATCGTCACAGTACAATACGTGAGATTGCAGAGAAGCTTCAGGTCATATATGCATTGAAAATCACTTAAAACAACTTGGCTATGTTCAAAAACTCGATACATGGGTTCCTCACGAACTGAAAGAAACGCATTTAACGCAACGCATTAACAGCTGCGATTTGCTAAAGAAACGTAATGAAAATTATCCATTTTTAAAACGAATGATAACTGGCGATGAAAAATGGGTTGTTTACAATAATATCGAGCGGAAAAGATCGTAGAGCAGGTCAGGTGAACCAGCTCAAACAACATCAAAAGTTGGTATTCATCAAAAGGGTGGTGGGATTATAAATAAATTGTCTACTTTGAACTCTTACCACCTGTCACCACCCAACCGAACAATCAATTCTGTTATCTACATTGAACAACTAACGAAATTAAACAATGCAGTTGAAGAAAAGCGGCCCGAATTGATAAATCGAAAACGTGTTGTATTCCATCATAACAGCGCAAGGCAACACCACATCTTGGTCACTCGGCAAAAATTATTGGAGCTTGGTTGGGATGTTTTGCCTCATCCACCATATAGTCTTGACCTTGCACCATCGGATTACTTTTTGTTTCGATCTTTACAAAACTCCTTGAATGATAAAAATTTCAATAATGATGATGATGTCAAAACGTTTACTTACGTACTTTTTGTTTCGATCTTTACAAAACTCCTTGAATGATAAAAATTTCAATAATTATGATGATGTCAAAACGTACCTGATTCAGTTTTTTGCTAATAAAAACCAGAAGTTTTATGAACGTGGGATTATGATGCTGCCTGAAATATGGCAAAAGGTCATTGATCAAAATGGGCAATACATTACAGAATAAAGTTATTTAGTTCCATGAAAAAATTGTCTTTGATTTATTAAAAAAATCCGCTTAGTTTTACTTAGTTGCCAACCGGTGGGGCTGAGATCCGCTTTCTCCTAGCAGTTTTCAAACTAGTAATATTGATGAACTAATAAACGGACAGAAGGATAAATATGACTTAAACAGTTTCCCTCTTCCTCTTGAGCTTTTTTAACATTAAATACCTCCTATGATTCATTAAAAAGTTCGAGATATTATGAAGTCACAAACTGAAAGTTACAACTAACCAAAACTCCCATAAAATAAATAATGTAAAGCTTGCAGCGCCCATACTTTTGTGTAGAAAATAACTCCCCACATATAAAGGGTACACCCTACTATTTCTACCTAAAATAATTTACGGTTATTTATCGTTGCCGAAAACAAAAATACATGTTTAAGAGCACGAAAACAATGATAACAAACAATAAAAGCAATTTAGATATAAAAAAAAATCAAGCGGTTGGACAGATAAAAAAAGTGTCGAGATCGTTGTTGTTTTAATTCAGGCAGTTCATTACTTTCGTACTGATATATCAAGATTATTTTAAAAAATAATTAATCATTTATATTGAGTAATGAGACACTTAATATAACCAAACAGCAAATACTTAAGATATTCAAAATATTTATATAACGATATTTTTAATCTTGATATTTGCATATATTTTTAACGATTTTAAGAGGCTGCTGATTTGTATATATTTAAATATTATTTTCGTATATTAAAATGCTTCCACCAATATGAAAGTAAAAATTAATATCCATTATTACCTGTCATAGTTCCTCCAAGAATTAAATACGAGTTTATAATCACATTGAAAGACATTTCAACTACTGAATCCCAAACGCTCACATGAATCGATTGCACCACAACAAAGAAGGAGCACAAAAAAGCTCGAAAACATAGCACTAAGAGCGGCAAAAAATACAAGGGGCAGAAGAAAGGCCGCCAGCTTTGTCTGTGTTACTGCACCTTTTACTACAATAATATTATGGAAAGAAAAAATGGCTTGGTACCAACTTTAAGGGATGTTTTTTAAAAGAAGCAATGCTAACTCTGACCGCATTGTTTTCGGTTTGTTTTGTGCATAGAAATTCACTTCGTTCTTTCGTGAATGAGTCTTGTTGATAGTGCTGATAGTGTACTATACAATGATTATGGAACTGTGGGCTGATTTCGCCAATATAACGCTGAACAATTGTTGACTTACCGATATAACCACGACTTAGCAATTGTGAAGATTTGAAGATTTCGAACCAAACAAAACTGCATTAATAACATTAATGTCAGTGTTCAATGGCAAAAAAAATACAAATTTGTAGTGGTATAATTCTGATATACATACATAGGTATTAAGCTTCCGACTATGATTCAAAAAGTTAAATGACAACCGTTCTACTAAATTTGACTGTCATTAAATTTTATCTAAATTTTTAAAATTTAAATTTTTAATTTTATGTTTTAAATTTTAAAAATAAATTTTAATTTTGTAATACATTTAACGTGCACACTGTATCGTCCATAACTTTTCGATGCCATAGCAACAATATTACTTGCAATGATTAGGTCAAGTACATAGTAACCGTAAAAAAATATGATCAAAGCAACAGTTTATTGTGATACAATTTAAAACTCCTCCAGTAATCGAAATAAATAAATAAAATAATTAAATGGAAATGAAAATACAAGGCGGGTTCTCAAAGCCAAACTAAACCGACTCGAAACAAAGGGACTGAAAAAAAGTCATTGTAAAAGGAGAAATGAATTGATTAAGCAAATAGCAGGAAGAATAAAAAAGGATATAAAGCAAATAATAAATAAAAGGAAAAAACATCAAATGGAGCAGAACAGTTGAGATGTAAAGTGAAATGAAATAGTATAAGCAAATCGTATTACAAATTTGGGACGAACTACGAATAAAAACACTAGAACTAGGAGGAAGCTGTGATATGTAAACGTAGTTTGAAATACCTTTCACTTAAATGTGACTATAACTAGAGTATCAATTTCCATTTTAATGAGCGTTAAAATTTGCTAAATAAGTAGGTTTCACGTTGATAGTGATCACTGCAGCGTTTGATGGCAGAGCTAATAAACTTTTCGGAGTAAAGAAAGATGTGTAAAAAACAAATGACAATTAACAAAAAAAATTAAAAGAGACAATAATAACAAAGAGGAGTTCTCAATAAAATTAGACTAACAACAATTGCAACAAATAAAAAGAAAATCGCACAACGGTATTGCCAATAAATTATGACTTAGTTAAGTTGCTGCAAGCTTAAATTGCAACAAACAATTACGGTAAAAAAGTTTAAAGGAAGTACAGAGCAATTAGTAGAAAAACATATATGTATTTTGATGCAGAACAA